GGCGCAATTTGTTCTAAAAATAGAAAAATTGTCCCATATCATAGGTGCGCGCGGATCCCAAGACTTACGGTCTCCGTCCCCGATTATGGCTCCTGGTGCTGCTAATCGCAGTCGTCATTAATATTATTTTCATTCGGGGGACAACGACATCCTGCACTCTGATCCGCTCTGATTGGTTCCGTTAGCGGGAGCATGCGCAGACAATTGTCCCTGGGCCTCTCCTCGGCGTTACGTGACAGAGAGGGCCAGACTAAGAAGTAACGTAGACACCAAAGTGTACACAGGTACCTATCCGACCCTACCCCTCGCCGTGAGACTGATTAATCAATTCAGATTAATTAATAAAACTGCCTTGCGGTTTGGCGGCCGAGAGCCCCCTAAACCATCCCAATAATTCACTCAGCACTAAAAAGCCCGGATTGAAAACTTCTTTTCTGTATCATTTTATTGTACGGTATTTACTACCGGCTCGTGGACCGGTTTATAAATGCCATATTGTGAGTTAGCAGCAATAACCAGAGCAGCCGCGCTATCAAACTCAGTATACGCAAGCGTGCATCATAATCCAATGATGCACGCTCACGGCGTGAGCAAAAACACTTAAGCTCTGCTTTCTTTCTGTTGGTGATGTTGTAAAACACCGTCAACATCATCGAGTTATAATTCATTAGGGAAGTTTGGAGAGCACTCAGAAAGCTAGAGTTTGTCTCGACTGCGCCTCGAGCAACGTATACGCTTCTTCCTTGTTTTCCGAACTTCCCGCGTGCATCATAACTCGATGATGAACGGAAACTGAAGTATAAATCAGTTTCTGACTATTCTATGTTGCGAGATCATGGCCTGGATTACATTTTAGGGAATGTACGGGAAGTCGCTCCATCCCTCTCCCACCAACTGCAAGGTAGTGCAACCTGTGCCCTCCATGGACCCAATAATTACAACACTAAAAAGAAATAGATTGTGAGAATACATGTGAGCAAACTGACAACAGGAGAGAACGTCTCGTTGATGTTGTAGTTTTGTATTACCAGTGATTTATAAATATAATAACGACCGTAAAAGATATTTACTTACCACCAGGTTTGACATACTTGTCAGGGATTTTAAGAAACCGGTTGACAATACTGTCGCTGTCGCACTCTGGTGGAAATTCGGGTAACTGTTCCCAATGAACGTTTCCTTCCTTGACCACCACGTATTTGTAGAGAGTTCCTTGGCGAGCCCGATCAAGACTTATTGTGAACTGACCCCGAAAAAACGTCAGTTCGTCTTCGCTTTGACCTTCAAGAACTCTGCATTTTAAAAAAAGAAGCAAAGGTTTATGGAAACCCCAATAGTGGAAAAGTGGAACGCCTTCGCACTCTTTACTGTCGTGCAATTTCTTTGAATGTGCAATATCAAACTAATGTCAGGGCCATGCCCACACCAGAGAGTCCGTGTTTAGAGGTGTCCGTATCACAACGGTGAAGATTACATGAATTCTACTTTCTCTGGGACCAAGTGAACTGTCCATGATATAGAAGCGGAGGAGGATTGACTGTAAATAATACTTACTCTACTGCAGTCATTTCAAAGTCACCCAAATCCACATCATGGGCCCGTATAAAAAAGCTTTCCTCCGTCATGTTGAAATTTGAAGCAAGCAGAACGTGGAAAACCACAGTCACCCCAGCTTCTGGTTTAACCTGTTGGAGGCTTGGTGGTGGCTGTGTTCTGAGATGTGATCCGTTAAAAGAAAAGTTAGCAAACATATTAACAGAAGATTTTTATTTCAGGAACTCACTCTGCAAGACCTAGATTCAACCGTCCAAAATTTTTCATCTCATACGATTTTTCATAGAATAACCTGATCCTTATGTAAATCGCGAAATAAATGTACATGTGCACCCATGGCAACGTGTGAGCAATGATAAAGAGGAGAACAGGAAAAAGGACCTAGACGAGCATAACTAGTGTCTCTTCCACGATCTGACAGCTTGAAACAGGTTATTTATCAAATTATGGGCGTACAAGGAAAGTTAAAATTTGCACTCATTCGTTTGCTTTTTTGTTTTTAGTTTATTTTTTAGTTTGTTTGTTTGGTCGTTTGCTTGTTTTCTTCACTTACGTCAAGGCTTCCAGCTCCGCACTACTTCTCTCCTTTCTTTCTTTCTTTTGATTTTTCTTGCCTTTTCGATCCCCCAGTGTTTGTTCTTGTGGTGTATCATTCTTTCTCTTTCTAAACAAAGTCCTACCTCCATCCTTTTTACCCTAAAAACACAAAACATGTCCAGTACCAATTTGTCTAGACTAAAACTACTGCATTATAACAAACACAAGGGGCTATTCTACAAAAGCATGTGAGCCTTTAGCAATACTCCTATTGGTTACTTCACAATTTCTCTGTCAAATTTGGTTATCAAAAATTTATCGATACGTTTCAAAAAGGCTATTGTGGAAAATCTAAATCACAGACAAGACGTTTTGCCAATTTCGTGGCAATCTATCAAATTGGGATACCCTATAAATTCATTTAAAGAGGAGACACTCGCATAAAAACAGAGTCCCTTTTTTCGCTTCCAAAGGCTTATAAAGATTTCACGCCCTTACTGTGTCACCACCGACGATACCGCAGTCGCCCACTGGATATTTCTAAGCCAATAGGACGCCTCTGATGTGTTCCCAAAGGAGTATTTTTCTCGAGGGTGCTATGTTGAGGGTCGAGGGTAATATGTTGAGGGTTAATGCTTTTATTCGAAACCACCATAACTGACAAGTAAATGCTCTTTGGGCGGGAAAACATCTCGTGGGGATAGCTGGGCGCGTGTGTGTTTTCCGATATGGGAAGAAAATATATTTGCAAAAGAAACAGCTCGTTTGATTATTATTGGCAACTAAATTCGCAGGAGATTCCGCGGCAACGGCCGAGATTGTACGCTTGAGGCGGAGATGAAATCGCTTGCAATTTTCACCGGTGATCCGCTGCATGAGTGTGAAAGCCCTTGCTTAACAATGCAACATTTTGGTTCAATATTGTGTCGGTTTAACATTTCTTAACTGTGATCACTTAGCCGGAACTTCAGAGGACACAACTCCCAGTCTGCTGACGAGATTGCCCTTTAAGACGTGAGAAGGAACTCTGTGGTTGGCAATAGTAATTGACTTATAACACTTTGCGGACTCTAGACTTGCATTTTACAGATACGTTTTTGTGTACAACTCGCGTGGTTGTGAGATATNGGAAATCCTCCCGTGAAGGTCTACGTAACTGAATGATGAGCAATCAACAAAAAATCATATTATTTAGCATGGGGTGTTGCTACATAGAGCAGTGCAGTAACGAGTCAGTAACGGAGTAACAAGAAAACGATCAAGGTCGTCAAAACAATAAATGACCGAAAGCTTTCCCGAGCCTTGTCAGTCATTCTTCCTTAAATTACTCGTCACTGCGTTGCTCTGTTTAGTAACACCCTTGAAAATGTCAATATTTCTTTACAGTCATAGCGAAACCTCGTTAGAACTTCAGTGGAAGTCAACCCCATCGATTAGGTGTCAATTTGGGACTAACTGGTAAATTCTCGGTGGGTGACTAAGCCTGTTACATGATTCTAATCATGTAGCAGGCTTAGTCTTTCCAGTAAACAATCTTGACACCACATGTACAAGTTAATTTAGCATCTGTCTAAACAGTCTTCTGCTGTCTACAAAATTTCCGGGCATTCCTGCTTAAAATTCATAAAGAGTCGTTTATGTTGAAAAATAAGCCGGTTGTTTTGAGGCACCTCGTGGATATGTGATTTATTCACCTTGGGCTGCGCCCTCGGTGAATAAATCACATATCCCCTCGTTGCCTCAAAATAGCCCTTACTTACCTTTCTAGTGACTGCCTATTCCTTGTAGTACTTTAACTCCCCAAGACTGACTTAAAGATATCCCTCTAACTAATTGGAATTTAAAGTGCACCTAACCCCAATTTTTTTTTTTTTTCGCTAAAACAAATCTAGACTTTATTTGAAGCATTTGGACGAAGAAATTTTTGAATTTGGTT